GAAATGATATCATTCCACACCAGAGAGTTAGAAGCATTAGAAGTAGCTGATTGCAGGGAAGAACCATTTCTGACATATAGATGATTAAGGAATGCTCCAATATAAGAATCTCTATCAAGAAATTTCCATAGCCATTTTGAAAGAAGAGAGGTATTAAAAGTTTTGAGATCTTTCACTCCCAAACCCCCTTCTGATTTAGTCATACAAACCCTCTTCCAATTGACCAGGCATTTGAAAGGTTTAGAAGTAGATTTACCTGACCAAAGAAAGTTCTTTCTGGTTTTATCCACTTCTTTGATCAACCATCCTGGTAATTTGTAAAAAGACATAAAGTATAGTAGTATTGAAGTAAGAACAGAGTTAAGCAAAACCAATCTACCACCAAAGGATAGACAGTTGCACTTCCAAGAAGCAAGTTTATGATGCAGATTGTTCAACAAGGGTTGTCAGTCTGATTTTGATAGTTTACCCCTTTTCAAAGGTAAACCTAGATATTTGATAGGGAGACTATCAAATTTGCAATTGAGGGCTGATGATAAAGATAAACCTCTGTTATGAATACTACCAAAATAGATGAGGGATGATTTTGAGTAATTGATGCCCAAACCTGAAATGTCTTCAAAAATGTATAAAATTGCCTTTAAAGTGCTAATGTCTTCAAAGGTGCTTCTGACAAAGAGTAATGTATCATCAGCAAATTGCAAGCTCCTAATATGGTTAAGAGGTTCTCTGATGTGTAGATTGGAAAGCAATCCTTCATCTACGTTATAAATAATCATTTTACTCAAAACATCCACTGATAAGTTAAAAAGCAAAGGTGAGAGAGGGTCGCCTTGTTTAAGACCTCTTTTGCATGTAAAAGATTTGGTGGGAGAACCATTAATAAGCACTGAACAATTTGAAGTTGACACAATGAAGTAAATCCAAGAGCACCACTTGTCACCAAACCCTCTAGCTTTAAGCAAATTGATAAGAAAATTCCAGTTTATGGAATCAAAAGCCTTTGCAAAGTCAATTTTAACCATAGCCACTTCCTTTTTCCTCTTAGAGCAAAAGTGAATCATCTCATTAGCAATTAGAATAGAATCAAGAGTAGATCTTCCTTTTTGGAAAGCTGACTGAGAGGGAGCGACCAAATCTTGCATAAGAGGTGCCAATCTGCTTGTTAGAATTTTAGTAAAGATTTTGAAAATGCAATTGATCAAACTGATAGGCCTAAACTCTTTGACTGTGGGTCTGTCTTTTGATTTAGGGATGAGAGTGATGAGGACTCTATTCACCCTATGAAGAGATGAGGGATTATCCCCAAAAAAGTTAATAAGAGCAACCAAATCTAATTTAATTAAGTCCCAAAAAGATTGATAGAAAAGAAGGGAAAATCATCTGGGCCAGGTGCCTTGTTTGGATTCATGCTAAAAACAGCATGTTTAACTTCTGCTTCAGAAAATGATGCCTCAAGAAAAGAAAGATTAGAATTCTGAACAGGGTATAAAAAATCTCAATCAACTAAAAGACTATTAGAGTTTTCCTGACCAAAAAGATGAAGATAATAGTCATGGAAAGCCTTAGTAATTTCCTCATTGCCTGTGATCTCAGAATCCAAATGGAAAATAGAAGCAATATGATTGGATCTTTTGTGAGTAGAGGCTGTTCTATGGAAAAAGGTAGTATTCGCATCTCCCTCTTTCAACCACTATATACGGGATCTTTGCAACCAATAGGTTTCTTCCTCTTGAATAATTGAAGTAAAACATGATTGTAATGATTTCCTCTCATTCAACTCTGCAGGAGATAGAGGTCTCTCTTTTTCGATTAAATCAAGAGAGTTAATCTTGTTTAATAAATCTGTTTTCCTAATGAATAAAGATCCGTAAACATGTTTTCTCCACCACTTGATTCTTCTCTTTAAAAGATTGAGTTTTTTGATGAAAATATCAACAGGGTTTCCTTTGCAATGAAAGGATTTCCAAGCTGATTCAATGAAAGGAACAAAACTATTATTATGAAACCAACTCTTTTCAAATCTAAAGAGAGATGATTTTGGTTGGATACCCCCACTATCAAGAATAAGAGGAATATGGTCAGTGCCTGTAGATGGTGGAGAGAATTGTAAACTGAGGGGATATTTCCTATCCCATTCTGAACTTACTAAGAATCTATCCAGTCTAGCCAAGGCTGGGTTGTGACGCTTATTGGACCAAGTGAAAGACCGGCCAGAAAGAGGAAGATCAATAAGAGAAGTAGATGAAACAAATTTACGAAAAGAATTGATATCACGAAGAGAACCCCCATTACCATTTCTCTCTTCAGAGCATAAGGTAGCATTGAAGTCACCACAAATAATCCAAGGACCATCGAAGACTTGACAAAGCCTATTAAGCTCCCACCAACATACTTCCTTATCTTCTCTATCAATAGGAGCACATACATTAGTGAAAGTAAAGAGCCAATTGGAGGTTTTATGAAGCAATGAACAGAAACGGAGAAGATACCCACATATGAACGAACCAAATTGAAAGAATTTGACCAACCAACCATGACTCCACCTCTGGATTCAGTAGAATCTAAAATAGACCAGTGAGACAAACGTTTACCACCCATAGAACGAAGCTTTCTAGCATTTGGTTTACAAAGCTTAGTTTCCTGAAGACCAATGACGTCAATTGAGTGACGAAGGACAAAGTCCTTAACTAAAAATCTTTTGCTTGGGTCATTTAGACCACGGACATTCCAAGATGCAAATTTCATTGAAAAAGGGATAAAAAGAACCTCCTATACGACCCTGACATATTCCATTTAACAACCTGAAGCAACTCTGTCCACCTCCTTATTTTACTAAACTAACTTACCAAATTGTCAATTACCTGGGTATTAAGTTAACAAAAAAATAAAATATTCAATTTCACAAATATTAAGTTTTCCTATTTTACTAAAAAAATTTATGGCAAGGCTTCTTATTTCACCTACATTTTCTTTGTATCTAGGTTTTTTGTTACCAAAGATAACATTCAACAAAACTAAGAATTTCTAATTCAATTTAATTTGAAAACCACTTCTAATGTTCTATTGTTCTATTATTCTAATGTTCTATTATTCATGTCATCGTGAAATATCAGGTTAAAGAAATTGGATTTCAGCAATAATTTCAATGATTTGTAAAGCTTCGTTTTTTTCACCTCAAATTTTCTCGTTGTATTTTTTATTTCTTGTCATGGATTCTGATTTAAGTCTCAACAACTCCTAGAGGTTAGACTTTTTTACTTCTTGATTGATGATAATCATTTGCTTTCCTAGTCATTTTCTCTTAAATATATTCTTTTTCTTTTTATTTGTTTCTTACCTTCTGATATTTTTACTAGGCTCTACAGGTCAAATGGGAAAGAACATTGCAGGTTTCTTTTGCAACTAACTATATTTATTGCCTTTTTTAATGATTTAGCTAACTGTGGCAATTTAGTTATGTCTTAAGTTGAGGATAATGGAACTCCTGCAGTTTTATTTTCCAATCAGAGATAGAACTTTAATTTTGTTCTCTAAGAGGGTGTTTGGTTCAATTTCTAGAAATTATAGGAAATGTTTTCCACCTAAAATATGATTTCCTTGTATTTCTTAAAAAAATTATAGGAAAAGTTTTGAGAAATCAAAAAGTACCAATTTTCTTGTTTTTTGTAATTTGGTTGTTTGGTTCAAAACAAAAAAATAGCTCATAACTTTATAGAAAATAACAAGATTTGGTAGGTTTTTAATTAAATATGGTATGTGTCAGATTTCTGGTGATTTCCTCTCATTTTGAGAGGAAATTACTTTTTGTAAAATTTGGTAGGTTTTGATATTTTATAGAAAATATTTCTGTAATTTTTTTGTTGAACCAAACACAATTTACAGAAATCTCTGAAAAACTCTTAATTACAAATTTGTCATTGTCAGATGTTTTGAGAAGAGTTTTCTCAAAAAGTGTGCAACCAAACAGCCCCTAAGTATCTCACTATGCTTTAAATTGTTTATTTTGTCTTTTTACGATTAATAAAAGGTGTTTTAGAACTATGGATTGAGTGGGTGCGAATTTTTATTTTCTTTATCTTTTATTATTTTTCTTTTTCAAAGCTTTTATGCTAAAATGAAATTCTTGCTTTTTAATTGAGTAAAGTTGATGATAACTATTGTATAATTTATTTATTTATTTTATTTTAAAAACATAATTTTATCAAGTTTACTTAAAGTAACTACTACCCAATTTTTATTGCACAGTTAAAATAGAAATTTCAAGAAAGAAACTTTTCTCATCAATTTCAATTAAGTCATCCCAATTAATTTTTTATAATTCTAAATTTTATTCTTACTTTTTAATGAATATCTACCTAAGGAGAATCTCTGCTTATTCCATTTTTGAATTGTTGTTTTTTCTATTTTTTAGAATTAGAATGTATTTTGTAATTACGGACTGAGGGCTATTCATATGAATGCTCAAAAGATAATCATTTTACTTTTTTTATTTTTTATTATTTTCTTTTTTAAATTTATTTTATGTTTGAATACTAATCTTACATGTTAATATAGTAAAATCAAAACATGTCCTAGCGGGAAATTGAGGGGCATAATAAATCAAATAAAATTTTTGGTTAACAATTATATTTTCTATTGATTACAGAAATATCTAATTCACATATCTAATCAGCTAATTAAGATTATTAATGATATATTTCTTTTTGAATTATTTACTTAACTAAAATATATTTTAGTAAACGTAAACAATATAAAGAATAAGGAATATGATAGGTATTACATGATGTATCCTGGTCTTCGCAATTATCAAAGTGTGATACAAAAATTGAATCATGGGAAAATGATAGTGGTTAGCACGAGCCAAAATGCTGGTTTACTAGTTATAGTTCAACTAAAAAGCTTTATTAGTTATGCCTCATGCTGGATTCAGATCAAGCTGTTGGGTTGAATCCATTTCTGGCAGTAAGGAAAATTTAAGAATTCAGACACAGATCAAATATATGGACAGCACAATATTGGCTGCAAATTTTATTATATATTGAGAGAGAGCGATTTACAACATTTCTTATGATATCATTCATCATCCCTACTTCTAAGGATGAACAGCAGAAGATGAAGACCTTGAAGTAAGCGAAGGTCTCATTTTAACAACGCGCTCATCATTGACACCCAATCTCTTAGCAGAATAGCCAGCTTCAAAGAATCTTTTAACTGCATTCTCCATGTAACTTAGTCCTTCTCTAACATTCATCTGTTTAATTACTTTGTCGAAGAAATTTGTTAACAGATGATCTCCATTGAGGACTGAAGCAAGTTGCACGAGCTCCTGTTGGAATTCGCTTAGCTTTGCTTCCTCATTTGCCTCAGCTTTTCGGATTTGTACAGGAGTTGGGAGTTGGACTGCATTGATTATGAATCATTCAGTGGCAAGATTTTTCGAAAGGGTAGTTTGAAGGAAACATACATGTGACAATTAGAATTTAGATGAAAAGAGATATTCTGCGACTATTTCATGGTTTAGTCATGATAAGTTTGGTCTGTAGTTTTTATACAAGATGTGGAAATAGTATCGTGGTTTTACCGTCAAAAAGTTCAGAAAAATGAAAATAGTATTGAGGTTTTATTGTCAAAAGTTCAGAAAACTGATAATGAGTGAAAGAAGTTGCGATGAGTGAAAGAAGTTGCCATGAGTGCGGTTATATTCAACTGACATTTGTGTTGCAATTTGTGTGGCAATTTGTATTGCAATTACGGTTAACAGTGAACCAAACAACCCCTTAGAGACTGTTTGGGTTGAAAACACTGGCAATTGGAGTCGTATATATATACTTGTAAGTTCTAAAAAGACGTTATCAGTTTCAATTGTAAGTATTTGTTTAACTATAAACTTCAGTCTTTTACAACTGTAGTACGCAAAAACGAGTCTTTTTTTTAAATAAAACAACTTACAATCCAGCTGGTCGAGAATCTTATTCGCAACGATAACACTTAAAATAGACCTAAACAAACAGATGCAACTGTAATTACAAACTGCACTTTGAAAATTGCAACTACGTTTTCGATTTTTGGCATATCAAACTGTAACTATAGTATCGCAAAGACCCTCTGTTAGAATATGGGAATAATAAGTTAGAATCTCATTAACCAGATTTTGAACAATTTGCATAACAGGCCAAAGAGCTAACCTGGACAGTCAGTTCTAGGTTCAGTCCTTGTTTGCAGAATGCCCTCAAAAGTTCCAGCCCAAGCATCTCTCTTTGTAAGAAATGGTGCTTGAAGATCGAAAATTTTCTTCATTGTTGCAGGTATAGATGAATGTTCATACTCAGAAGTTTGAGTTGGTACACCATTCGGACCATGAACAACTACAAAACATCACCGCTCAAATCAATCTCAAACTTCAAGATTCACAGTTAAATACACAAGGATAAATTTCAGAAAACTACCATGAACTTTGAGGTACTTTTCACAAAGCTACATAGACCATTTTTTACTACAGGTAAATGTCCTGAACTTTCAAAACTGCTGAAAAATATGATGAACTGTCGAAACTTGTTTCTAAAAGGTTTAGACAAACTTTATTTATGTCAATCAACTAACAGAGTAAATTAAGGTGTATAAAGTACTTAAGGGCAAATTTTGTCCAAGACGTGCTACATGCTTAACACGGCAAGCTACCGTAACAGTCAGTCACCAGAGATGGTATAATGGTAGTGTACTTTTAAAAATAAAAGTTTATTGTGCTTTTTCCTAACAGAGTAAACTATAGAAGATCTCCCTGAGATTTGCATGACGGACAAAATACCCCCATATGGTCTCAAAAGTGCAATTTGATTCCCTCTGGTTCAATTTCTACGACATTAACATGGACCTAAAAACTACGATCATTGAATATGACAATTATATGTTGCTCCCATATAAACATATGTCACCACGTTAACAGTGAATAATCATGCACATCCAAAAAAATTGAAAATAGGGGGAAATAAAGTGCCGTTCCTACAACCCATGGGAGGGTTTTTCTCCTTGCGATTTATCCTAAAAGAGATTCATAGTAATTTTGATAAATTAACCCAAAAATAAACACAAGCATACTTACCGGTACCCTTCTCAATCCAAGGCGACACCATAATCGTAGGAACCCTAACTCCCAGCCTATCAAACTCAAAATAATAAGGTTCACGACCAATAATCCCATCAGGGCTCGGCACACCCTTCACTGGAGTAGGCACATGATCATAAAACCCACCATGCTCATCATAAGTAATAATCAACAGTGTTTCATTCCACTGAGGACTAGCTCTAAGTGCTTCATAAACCTCTTTAACAAACATTTGTCCTTGATAAACGTCATGTGAAGGGTGATCATCTGTGGCAGGCTTGCTTCTAGAGTCCATGTACCTTTGCTCAATGACTGCGTAGTTTGGGAGAGATCCCTTTTGGCAGTGGGATTTGAATGAGTCATCGTAGGAGTGGAACTTTGTTATGTATTTGAGCTTGCGAAGATTGCGGTAGAAGAGAACTGCGGGGACATTTTGGTAATAAATACCGAAGGAGAGTCCTGCATCATCCAGGTTCTCAAATATTGTTCTTTGAGGAAATCCTTTTACTAGCGCGCTGCAAAATATGTGGAGATGGATGTAATATAGGAAATTGAAATATGTAAGTTAAAAAATGAGGGGATTAACTCATTTTTCTTGTATGTAATAAATCAAGATTGCAATGAATTTTTCATTTTTCACTCAAATGACGAATCAAATAATATTTCTGTACCAACTTCTGCCTTTCCTCCCTCTCTAGATCAAATATTTTCTTGTTACAATGTCTGTGTCATCTTACCATCGATGACACAATTCAGATATTAGATGTAGAGATAATAAAGAAGGGGGATTTCACTCTTCATCAAAACAAAGGAGATTGTTGTTGATACAGTAAAAATTAACTAAAAACATATATTGATGTAGACACAATAAAGAAAATGGTATAATAGAATATATATAACCTGCAAAAAAAATGCTTCATTAAACATAACAAAAACTGATATTTATAGATGTATGGATGTAATTCAGCAATCTGAAGCATGCAAGATAAAACAAAATCATCATTAACTCCGTTTTTCTCAATCCATAATGAATATATATCTCCCTTTTTCCTGAATAACAAACTATACGCAAAACACCCAACCAATAAATAGGTAGTAGCCTATTTTCCAAAGCAATACCAAGTGGGCTATAATTTCTCGGAATTATCATTTAAGACATCAATTACATCATCGTGTGAGCTGTTCAAATATTGAATGTCATGATCATGAGTTTGTTTCATTTACTCAAATTAGGCAGGTGACGTCCTTCTCATTTTAAATGGTGGCAGAACAGTCCACTGTCATCTTTGCAATATTCGCTATGGTTCTCTAAATGGTCTTCTGCTTTTATCATGAATCTGGGCATATGCTTCCATTTGGCTTTTATTTTTCCTCAAAAGTGAATTTATTTCCTTATAGGGAATTTCATCATATTCTCTCTTTAAGACGTTTTCTAGTTGGATAATGATTACCCCTAAAAACTAGGGGTGCAGCCGATCCACATACGGCTCAGAGATGATAGTTATCATATTTGCATCCGCTTACCAGTCACGGATACAGACATGTCTCGTTAAGGAAAATTCATAACAATATCAGCTAAAATACGAATACGGATATACATGCGGATATATAAGCGGGTATATATGCAGATATAAAATAGATATGAGAATTCTAGATTATATTGTAAAAAAATATAGTTCATATGAGACAAGAGGTTCATCAATATGTTTATTATAATTGAAAAGCTAAGATTAAATGTCCTGACCATCAAAATTAACCTCATCAAATTCATCAATCTAAGGTTGCAACGATAAGACCAATATACCTATTTGGATATTCCAGATACGAATCTCGATATTTCGCTACATAACCATATCCATAACCATGTCTTATCGGTTATAGATTTTGATAACCATATATGTATTCTAACGGATACGGATACGAATATTTTCTCGGATACAGACATTTTTGTGCACTCCTACCTAAAACCTTTGTAGAGCATGTGACTATTAAGGGCTAAGTTACAAATTCACCAAAGTATTTACTTAACAAATTATACCATATACATACCTAGATTACCATATTTTTAAACTCTCTCCCTGGACCATATATAAGAGTGTAGACATTGGAGGGTACTAATATATAAAAAAACCACTTTCAAAATGTTAAAGCTAGGTGTGCATATTAAATATTCTTAACATACAAGAAATAGTCATGTAGGTTTAAATATCTAATAACTAGTAAATAAATTGTTCTTTAAGCTTTATACCCGCTCTACCCGATTTAACCCAATTTCCACCTGGTTTGTGCTGGTACAATATGTTCTTCGCATTTATATTTTAACTATTTATAATGATATTATTGCTTACGCTGATTTAAAATTGAAAACACACATGTATCACTTTCTAAATGTACATATGAATTTTCATAAAGCACTAACTATAAGTTTTTTTTAAGCAAAACATACTAACTTTACAAGCCAATTACTAAACAAGGAGCACATGTCCTTATCCTATATCATCCAAACAATCACTAACCAATGGCCTCCACCATTCACAAATGTATGGTGGCGGACAACCCAGTTCACCCACTTCCAGTTTACACTACAACTAACAATAAAAGCCCATTTCATCCTCCAAATTCCTAAAGGTAAAGGCGCCACCAACGTTCCAGCTTTATTTACAGCTGTTTTCTATTTGACTTTTTTCAAAAAAAAAAAAAAAGTTTTGGTCACCTAAAAACTTCAACAGGCTCCACTTGCCCACCCAAAATATATATCACCAAAATTCCCACCACCGACAACAACTCGCTAATTAATCCGATAGTAGACAAATTTTACCCATTAATGCAACAAACTAGGACTTTGTCAGGTCTGAAATATGCGGCACGGAAATCAGAGTTACATTATTCAGATTCTCTCCATTATCAGAAAATGGTCGAAGGTCAAACTTCTGATTCATGGGTTTATTACTTAGTGCCCAATGCTAAAATTAGAATAAATAGCAATTGATGAATATATAATGGATTACTACGTACTATTAAGAAAATCCTAAGAAGGGAAAATAGGCAAATTCTAGGATCATCAGCGTTAATTACGTGCTAAATGAAATTAATCCCTTATCGTTACTATTATTAAATTAAAAAACCAGCTAAGCAACCACACTAACCTATCCAAAATCCACCAAAACCCAACAAAACAAAACAAAAAAAAGATAAGAAAAAAAGAAAAACACCAATAATTCGAATCCAATGTAACCTACGCAGGATCGTTGCTCATTGCCCCATGCGACGTCCCAGAATGCACATACATCCGATTGGGCTGCGTCGACGCCGGCACCGACGCGAACCACAGATCGAAAACCGCAAACTCCGACGCCAACTCCTTATAAACCGCCACCATCTCGGGCCGAAACCCGTTCATAACGGCCTCCGGCATGTCGGCCCCCATCGAAACGGCATTCTGGACGAACCCGTTCATCGGCGGCGGCGACGCTGACGTGTCGTTGGACCCGAAGATCTGCTCTCGGATTGCTTGGAAGGAGTGGCCCGGATCCGGGTCGACGTAGTGGGCCCCATCTTTGAAGTAGACCCGGGTGGAGTTCGGGTCCGAGGTTGAGGTTGGATTGGATTCGGATCCGGTGACGCCGTTGATTTCGGGGTTGAGGCGCTTCATGAAGCCGAGCATGTGGTCGAAGGATCGGTTCTCCATTACGAGGACCACGACGGTTTTTATTGGGCCGCCCGCTTTGCTTATCGGAGCTCCGATAAGGAGGAGGAAGACGAAGAGGAGGTATGGGGGTGTAGCTTTCATCTTCATTGTTTGTATTGAGACTGAGGAAAAGATTGAGTGGGCTTTTTTTCCTCCCCCGCTTGGGTGAGTGGGTTTTCGAGAGAGGCGAGAAAATAAAAAGACACGTCTCGTGAGCGCTCGAGAGGCGAGGGAGTGAATCTATTTTGGGTTCTTTCGGTGTTAGTCCCCCCCAACCTTTTAGCTATTTGAAACCAGTCCCTCCAAGGGGTAGTAGAATTAGCAATTAGATAGATCAATTCAAAATTATTTATATGAAAATTGTGGTATCTGGTACGTTAATTGCTACTTCTACTCTTACATTTACGGATTGATTTTGTTATAGTTTAAGAACTGGAGGATTCAATACCAATTTTATTGATTTTAGGGACAGAATGCAAAACATGAAAGGTTAAGGGACAAATATCAATAAAACCCGCTCTCTTTCATGCGTGTCGATTAGGGGCTGTTTGGGGGAAAGCTGTCAAAAAGCTGACATTTTTGACAACTTTTCCCACTTTTACCATCTAAAAAACAGGAACCAAACAGCCCATTGTGGGTAAGAAGATTTATTTTTTACTAATTTGTAGATGGCTGATGGGTTATTTGTGTTGGTAGGACCCATATGTCAGTGACTTGGAGTTGAATTGAAGCTACTATTCCACGCGTGTAATTAGTTTGAAATATCACTGAATTTTGTCGGCTTGTCGGTGATATAATGATGTATATCATTGGCTGGCGACAGGCGCGGATAATTATGAGCTAAATCGCAACAACACCCCACGATTGACATTTTTAGCAATTTGGTCTTGGATATTTTTAGCAAGAGTGCTTATTTTTTGACTTGAAATCTATGGAAATTACGGAATGTGACAGGTGTGATTTTCTTCAAACTTTCCTCAATGTCAATGACTAATAACATAGAGAAATGCTAGTGACTTAGACGATTGAGATGTTCCAATATAAATCTTAATGAGTTTTATTCCCGTATCAAAAAAAAAAAAAAGGGAAGGGGAAGAAGAAGAAACATATATTTTCTCATCTTCAATTGTTTGGGTCTACTTGTTTTTTATCTAATCGTCCAAAACTAATTTCTCGTGTTTGATCATGGGGGTAGATAAGGGAATGAAAATTACCACCATGCCCCCATCACTCTAAGTATGTAGTTCAGAACGCCCTACACTGTGCGGAGCGCTCTAATATGATGTGTACTCCTAGGCAACTACCCTAATATGTGGCTAGGATTAGAGTTGGTCATATCTAACAAAATCAGTTTTGTTTTGGACTACGGGAGAGGCGGGTCCTAGATGAGAACAATTTAAAGGCCAAAATTAATCTTAAAAAAATGCGTTGGTCTTTGCCAGGTTTTATCCAAATATAATTTCGTCCAAAATGAGATCAGGTTTGAACTTTATCCCATTTTGAGGATTTGCTAAACCCACCCTCAATTCTGTATTTTAGACTGTTTGACAACCCAGAACAAGATACTTAACTACGAGTGTTCTTCTTCTTCCTCCTCCTCTTTTTTTTTTTTTGTTACCCCCGAGATGGATCAGAGTTAGTCTTTAAAAAATGGCTTAAAAGTAGAAATTAAATTAAAAAAAACAGTTCGATTTTGATCCAGTTTTTGTCAAACCAAGGCTGCCTACCTTCCGGACGAGATTGTAATTGATTAAAACCTGTTACGTGGACCTAATATGTGGCTAGGACTAGAGTTGGCCGTATTTAACAAAATCAGTTTTGTTTTGGACTACAGGAGAGGCGGTCCTAGATGAGAACAATTTAAAGGCCAAAATTGACCTTAAAAAAATGCGTTGGTCTTTGCCCGGTTTTATCCAAATATAATTTCTTCCAAAACAAGGCCACGTTTGAACTTTGTCCCATTTTAAGGATTTGCTAAACCCACCCTCAATTCTGTATTTTAGACTGTTTGACAACCCAGAACAAGATACTTAACTACGAGTGTTCTTCTTCTTCCTCCTCCTCTTTTTTTTTTTTTTTTGTTACCCCCGAGATGGATCAGAGTTAGTCTTTTAAAAATGGCTTAAAAGTAGAAATTAAATTAAAAAAACAGTTCGATTTTGATCCAGTTTTGTCAAACCAAGGCTGCCTACCTTCCGGACGAGATTGTAATTGATTAAAAAAAACCTGTTACATGGACCTGCCAAGTGCCAAACATCAACCTTTTGTGCTCTTAAAAGGTATGTTTCCGCCGTTTAGCGACACGGACATTAGCTTACCGGTTACCGCCTACTTTTCTTGCAGCCAGATTGGATGGGTAAGCGCGTTAGAAATGTTGTTAATCTAAGTCTGTGTTTAGTATGAGTTCGATCAATGTTCTTAATTCGGTTGGAATGAAGTATGCATGATTGATCAGCGATGTTTGGAGCGTTAATTAATTAACTAGGTCTCTACAGATGTCTATCGATCACCTACATGAAATGTTAAAAACGTCTGATCGCAAATGAAGTGCAGGCTTGTCCTTACTTGTCCACTAAACAAAATTACAAGCATCATGATTCATGAGTGCACAGAATGGGTTGGACGTGAGAAATTCCCTCTGAACCAAAATGATGTGCGCAAACACAACACCTCAGTTCTGGTTTACAAATAGACTATACTCTCAGGATTTTTTTTTATTTTTTATTTTTAAATTCATGGTATTCGATAGGGTTAATTTCAGAAAATCCCCATTAAGGACGGGGTTTCCTAGATAAGCTCTTTTAACTTTCAAAATGTCACAAACCCCCCTCTTTAAGTTTTGGGATTCTCTGAAAGCCCCGTTTGACTTTCAACATTTTTCAAAAAATCTTCCTAGCGATAATTTTCTCATGGGTGGTAGAATTACGTAGGAGATATTTTTGCCGGCAAAAAATGTGATTCACACCTTTAGGGTTCTAACAAAAAATCTTGAAATTTGGGAGGGGTCCTTCTAGGAACCCTAAAACTTAAGGGAGATTTTGGGATACATAAAAGGAGGTCGCCTGAGAAATGCCCACATTCAAAAAAAAAAAAAAAACATTTAACTCATAAAATGTCCGAGAAGTTCAAAAACTTTAAATGTCCCTCTGAAAATAACCTCAAATCATGAGAACCGTATCGAATGGACCTGATCCATGATATTATATATTTATCAAATGAATATTAACTATTGGATATGTACACAAATATTATAGTCCAATAATCTAAAGAGTCCATCTAGTGCATACGGGCACCAAAAGTCATTTCACTAGATACTATACACATGATTAGCCCCATTCCAAATATATTCCACCTAGCTCCATTCCAAATGAATATTAACTACTGCACCAATTATTGGATCCATACACATGATTAGCCTCATTCCAAATATATTCCACCTAGCTCCCTAAACCTCACTTCAGCGTGCAATAGGATTGACTTTATGCGCACAAGGTTCTCTATAGATCTCAACTTTAAATGAGGACACCTTAAAATAATCAATTTTAAAGTACCCGCGTCAGAGAATGCCAAGGAACTATCACCGACCAAGAGTGGCCCACGAGGCCCGTTAATCCAGAAGGTGCACTGGGACCCAAAAAGTTCGCCGATGTCCCGGTTGCGTTCCCACTAGCTAAACTTTTTTGCTGCAAATATTTCGCCGTGATCTTAGTTAATCAAGATTAAGGTATAAAGATTCCTCGGCTTGGTAAAAATTACAAGTTAAGGATGGGATCTAGATTGAAGTCGCTTTTGCGTGATGGGCACGGTCGGCATCCCGTAACAAACAAAAAGAGACCGGCTGCAGCTTTCAGGGATCTCGTGAAGGCTTGATGTTTATGATTGGAGGAGTTGAGTGTAGCAATTTGTTTGGTGCACCTGCTAGAGGAGGTTGAATTCTTTTGGGGATGCCAACTTTGTTAGTGCACGGAGTTAAAGCTGTGTTCCCATGGCAGCACTTGGAGGCACATGTTGCTTTAATGGCAAGTTCTCAACTCGCTAGAGGAGGTTTCAGTGGTGGGGGTAGGGTTGTCCTTTTGGCCCGGTCGGGCAAAACCGGAGTCCGAACCCGGGCCTGGTTGCCTCGGGCCGGGCTCGGGCCCGGGGCCTAAACGGGCCGGGCTCCGAGCCGGCCCGGGTTTTATTTGTTTTTTAAATTTTTTTATTTTTTAAAAAATTTTCAAGAATACAAAGTAAAAAATAAACACAATTTTGATAAAAAATTATATTATTAATTAATTATAATTATGTAATTTACAAATATAAAAAATTATAGAAATTAAAATGATATAAAATAATTATAGAATTTATAGAAACAAACAAAATTAAAAATAATTGTAGAATTCAAAGAGCCCAAGGTCCAATCAAAGACATATAAATATATATGTTATGGTTAGGATTTGAACCACTAACCTCCTCTCTAAACTCCTAAATTTTACCACTAGACTAAGTAGCCCAAAACGTTCATGTAATTCAATATATGTATATGTATATATACACACATACACATATAAATATATTATACATAAACAAATTGTAAATACTTATAGAAATTACATAAACAAAGTGTATTACACATAAAAATATATATAAATATATAATATATATATATATATACACACACACACACACATATATAGGAAAGTTTTAAAAATCACATGACAATGTGTCCAATTTAAATTTGAACATAATAGGTTCTCTTCCATTTAATAAAGATTGGAGAAGTGTATTCTTCACTGGTTTTTTTTACAATTAAAAAAGGATACTTTAATCCCAATGTATGGAGTTGATGATCATTTTTGCCAAGGAATTACGATATGGTTCGTTTGACTCTAAAAAGAACCCAGTTTATCCCCAATAATTTTTACAATTCTGTTGATAGAAATTTATTTATACTACGTCCATAATACCACCCGAGCGAAGTGTGGACTTTGATTCAAAACATTAACAGTGTTTATACACACACAAAATGTATATATGTTTTTAGTTAAATTTAATTTCGAGAACTATAGTTTTCATTTGGTAAAACCTTTGTATGTTCGAAAACATGTGCATATATACATAAAAGTAAAGCAGGTTTTCCTTTTAACTAAAGCAAGTTTAATTAATATACATATTCTTTTAACTAGTAAATCTACCCCATGTTTTTTCCCCCAAACCTATAGCATAGGCTTCTTCACAAAAAATAGAAGACTATGGTGATGACAGTTTTAC